AAAAAGTTTTCCGTTAAAAGCATTTGTGGAAAATCCTGCCAGTCTAGACGTAGTTTGGTTGTTTAGCCAGCTTCCTGCTTCTGATGTTCTTAAAAAAAAACATTTTGCTATTGCTTTTTGAGTTTCTAGCTAGCTGTCCTTCAAACTCCTTTTGGCTTTTCTTATTATACTAGCCAATTAACCTGTCATAAGACAGGATTTTCAGGTCTCTCCTCCATGTCAGTCTTCTCTCCTGAGCCTCCGGTCTCTCGCTGTCTCTCTGTCTCTCTCCTCCTACTGCCTCCCCCCCCTCTCTCTCAGCTCTCCTCCGCCTCCTGTCTCTCTCTGTCTCTCTTGCTAGCACTCACCTGGAATCAGACTCAATTCACACTTCAAACTGTAAAATTCAAACAGTCAGGCACACACACACACTCACACCACAGCTTGTACTCTCACCGGGTAGCCTCTTCGGCGGTGGGGTCGCTTTGCTCTCCCTCTTCAACTCCCCTGTCTGCAGTCCCCTGTCCGCTTCGCTCCCCTGGTCGCACTTTAAAGTGGTTGAGCCTCATGATGCCATTGTAGTCAGATGTAGATGGTAGTCTCCACATTGGTAAGCTTGCACCACTTGCTCCCACGCGGCAACCAGGCTGAGCAGTGCAGAAGTCAGCCGAGCGCCACGGCGGGGGGGGGAGGGGGGGGGGGGGAATGGCCAGGGGGTGGGACCTGGAGCCGCTGTCATGCCGCAGGTCACCACCCCGCCCCCCTTCACCTCCCAAGATCGCTTTCCTGATTTGTCGTAGCCAAATTAGCCCCCATCATACTGTACGTATAGTTGGGGTTATTTTTCCCAATGTGCATTACTTTACACTTAGCCACATTCAATTTCATTTGCCATTTTGTTGCCCAATCACTCCTTTTGGTGAGATCTTCTTGGAGTCCCTATCAGTCTAGACAATTGCTTTTGCGCAAAATCTTGCCAGTCTTGACGCAGCCCAATAGTTAAAAAGGGCTCTAGAGGTGATCTTGGCAATTACAGATCGGTAAGTCTAACGTCAGTACCGGGCAAATTAGTTGAAACTATAGTAAAGAATAAAATTGTCAGGCACATGGATGAATATAGTTTGTGGGGGAAAGTCAGCGTGATTTCTGTAAAGGGAAAACATACTTTACTAATCTGCTAGAGTTATTTGAGGGGGTCAACAAACATGTGGACAAAGGGGATCCAGTGGCTATAGAATACTTTGATTTCCAGAAACCCTTGGACTAGGTCCCTCACTAAAGAAAATTGCCATGGGATGAGAGGGAAGGCCCTTTTGTGGATTGATAACTGGTTAAAAGATAGGAATAAATGGTCAGTTTTCTCAGTGGAGAGAGGTAACTAGTGGGGTCTCCCAAGGGTCAGTCCTGGGGCCAGTCCTATTCAACTTACTTATAAATGATCTAGAGAACGGGGTAAACAGTGAGGTGGCAGAATTTGCAGATGATCCCAAACTGCCCAGACTGAAGAGCTTCAAAAAGATCTCACCAAACTAGGAGATTGGGCAACAAAATGGCAAATGAAATTCATGTTGATAAATGGAAAGTAATGCACATTGGAAAAAATAATCCCAACCATACGTACAACATGATGGGGACTAATTTAACTACAACTACTCAAGAGAGATCTTGGAGTCACTGTGGATAGTTCCCTGAGAACATCCACTCAGTGGGCAGCGGCAGTCAAAAAAGCAAATAGAATGTTAGGAATCGTTAAAAAAGGGACAGAGAATAAGACCGAAAATATTGTAATGCCTCTACATAAAACCATGGTTCACCCACGTCTTGAGTACTGCGTATGGATGTGGTCACCTCATCTCAAAATAGAGATATTCTCATTGGAAAAAGGCAACAAAAGTGATGAGGGGTTTGGAACAGGTCCCATATGAAGAGAGATTTAAAAGACTTGGGCTACGTCTACACTGGCCACAATTTCTGGAAAAGCCATGAAAATCAGGCAAGTCAGGATAGGGAAATCCGCAGGGGATTTAAATAAACATGGCCGCCGCTTTTTTTCCGGCTTGGGGAAAAGCCAGGAAAAAAGCATCTAGACTGGCACGATCCTCCGGAATAAAGCCCTTTTCCGGAGGATCTCTTATTCCTTCAGGTAGGAATGGTGTCCCCAGCCTCTGTTTCTCTGGAGGTGGGAGACAGGGGAGGGATCACGTGAGGATTCCCTGTTGTGATCCCTCCCTCTGGGGCATCTGGTATCAGCCACTGTGGGCAGACAGGACCCTGGGCTGGTTGGATCATTGGTCTGACCCAGTCTGGCTGTTCTGATGTTCTTATGACTCAGCAAAGCCCCTTTGGCCCAGGCTTCCCCAGGGCTCTGTGAGCTGAGTCCAAGCCCACCTCAGCCCCGCCAGGCTCCATCTCCTGGAGCCCTTTGTATTCTGCGGAGCTGGCATCTGGCCATGCATTCCTCTGCCTGGGCCAGGGCCTTTGTGGCCCTGCTTCCCAGGGCAGGAGTCCACTCCCTGCTGTGTTCCCTCCAGCAGAAAGGCTCCTTTGTGCCTGGCGAGGCCTGCATTGGCAGCGAGTGGGGCCCAGCTGGGCAGGAAGTGTGCCGGGGGGGGACCCAGAGGGATGTGGCACACAGGGCAAAGCTGCCCTAGCACAGACTTAGCTCTTCCAGCTCCCAAGCCGCTGAGAGCCGTGGCAGGACAGAGGAGCCAGGACAGCTGGAGGGATCCCAGGCAGGAGGCTGGCACTGTCACCCGCGCCTTCAAGGACTCCTGGGGCTGTTGTCTGCATTGCCTGTAGGCGCCCTGTGGCCAGGCCTGAGCTGTGGCCCTGAGCATGCCGCTCTGCTCCCTGCGTAAGGACCATGGAGCACAGCGCTGCTGCATGCGGCAGGGCGGTCCTGCTGGACCCTGTGTACCTGCAGCCCCATGCTCCTCTGAAGGAGGACCCATGTCTGAGCCCCCACTGCAGCTTGTGCTATGGGGAACTGGGCAGGGGCACGTTGCCTTCTGCACTGAGGCCCTAGGCTGCTTGTACGAGCCCAGCCTGCTTCCGCGGAGACACCGGCTGCACTTCACAGCACTGGGCCTGGGACCAAAACCACTGGCTGAGGCAGGAGGCGGAGCCATGAAATCTGTGACTTAGGAGTTCCTGGTGGCTGGGCCTGGCGACGCTGCATTAGGCGCAGCCCTGAGGCAAGCTGCCCATGGGACCCTGCATTAGCGAGCCCCTAGGTGCCCAGAAGTTAGGCTAGTGTTTTTCCAAGTTGGGTCTCAGCCACCAGAGCTTCCTTCCTGTGTCCGGCCACAGAGCTCGCAGCTCCCTTGGCTGGAACAGGCGAACCGTCCCGGGGCCCTGCCACTGGCTTCTGGCAACCCTGCGGCCCCAGTCTGAGAATCGCTGAGTTAGGCCGTGTGCACGCCCAAGGCTGGTCACCACAACTAATGTTAACAAATCAAAACTGGCTAAAGGGGTTCACACTTGCTCCCTCGGCCCACAGATTGTGTCCACATGGGAGGGGGCTATCATCAACAGTGTGAGCAATGCATTGTGGGTAGGAGTCCCACAGATCAGTGTTGTGGCAAGGAGGAGCGGATCCCTGCACCTCTCTCAGCCTTCTCAACAGCTGGGAGTGGCATCATGAGTAGCTCTGTGAGCTCTCTGTGCTAAGGAGTGTCAAAGCAGCACAGTGTCTGTCCTTTTCCCGGTGCAGTGGCAGTGTGCGTGCCACTGTTTCTAGTGCGCGGCAGAACAGAAGCAGTCCAATCATTTGTTCTTTGTTCCTTCCCCAAACAGAACAGCTCACTCAGCTGTCAGATACATCCCAGAGCTTTGAAAGGAGAAGGGTGCATGCTTGCAGGGCAGCACAGATCAAAACACTGAGCAGAGCCATCAGGGCAGGTATTGTGGGACACTGGCATCAGCCAGTTCTGTCTACAAAAACAGCGGAGTCTACACAGGCTGTTTGTCAACAGTAAAGGGAGGGGAAAAGACAACATCTTGCAGAGCTGGAAGATTTTGGCACCAATACTGGGTGTTTTCCCTGACAAGCCATGTGACCGTGTGAATGCGTTTTGTGGCCAAAGGGCAGGTTTTGGCAACTAAACCTGCTAGCGCAGACAAGGCTTTGGACTTGCATCTCACTCTTGCCTTCCCCAAGAGGCGGAGAGCAGGAAGTGGCCTGCTGTTGTGTGGTTTGGCTTTTGGATACAAGAGGAGCCAATAAAAACACCTCAGCTAGACTCTTGGTAACTTTATTATGCACAGAATAGTAAAGGAAAGCAATGCACGGTTACAGAGATCCATTTCAATACACAGGATACTTAGTACAGACAATAATACAACACCTAGGGCAATACCCAAGATACTTGATTTTAAGGGTACTTCTTTCTATAAATCACACACACACACAGTTCCACCGCTAAGACCTTATGATTCTCAGCTGATTGTCAGACGGGAGGTCGTGGCCTCATTGTTTCCCCACACACAGAGGTGTCCACAAGGCATCAGTCGGTAGGAACAGGCACAGCTTTTAGTTGCAGCGAGTAAGGTAGTGGGGTCCCCTTACCCAATCCCTCCCACCAATTACCTTTTCTACCCCTATTTTATAACAACGCGAGACTTGACGTCCTGCCAGTGAAATCTGCCCATTAACCATCTCATGAATGCCCCTCTCTGGTACACACCGTGCTCACCCAGCTGCACTCTGCTTCATTGAGACGTCTATGGCTGCATCAGTAGCATTGCCAGGTCCGAGTGCCAGGCCCCCCCGCTGTTCTTGGCGAGGTGTCTCTGTACCGGTACTCTCAGCGCACTGTTGCTTCACGCACTCCTGCCTTTCGAAGGTCGACCCTCGGCCTGGCCCACGGGCTTTCCTGCACTAGGCTCAGATCAGGCCGCCTCACTTTGGTCAAGGCAGCCATGGCTAGTCCGGTCCATGCAGGCCTCTTTGGGAGCTCCCTGCTGAGGGGAGGTGGTTTGCCCCTTCTGAGCTGTGCCATGTGCTGCCTCTCTGCCTGCAGGTCTCTTCCAAAGAGCCATCATCCAGAGCGGCTCTGCCCTCTCCAGCCCAGCCTGCTGGCCGACAAGGTGGGCTGCAACGTGCTGGACACAGTGGACATGGTGGACTGTCTGCGGCAGAAGAGCGCCAAGGAGCTGGTGGAGCAGGACATCCAGCCAGCCCGCTACCACGTGGCCTTCGGGCCTGTCATTGATGGGGACGTCATCCCAGACGACCCGGAGATCCTGATGGAGCAGGGCGAGTTCCTGAACTATGACATCATGCTGGGGGTGAACCAGGGGGAGGGGCTGAAGTTTGTGGAGGGCGTGGTGGACCCTGAGGACGGCGTGTCGGGCAGTGACTTTGACTACTCCGTCTCTAACTTTGTGGATAACCTGTATGGCTACCCCGAGGGGAAGGACACCTTGCGGGAGACCATCAAGTTCATGTACACAGACTGGGCAGACAGGGACAACCCTGAGACACGCCGCAAAACCCTGGTGGCCCTGTTCACGGACCATCAGTGGGTGGAGCCGTCGCTATGGCTCCCCAACCTACTTCTACGCCTTCTACCACCACTGCCAGAGCCTCATGAAGCCCGCCTGGTCGGATGCTGCCCATGGAGACGAGGTGCCTTACGTCTTCGGGATCCCCATGATCGGCCCCACCGACCTCTTCCCCTGCAACTTCTCCAAGAATGACGTGATGCTCAGTGCCGTGGTCATGACCTACTGGACCAACTTCGCCAAGACTGGGTGAGGGACCCTAAGCTCTCCCTGTGTCTGTGCGCGCCCGTATGTGTGTCTGTGCGCGCCCATCTCCCCGTGTCTGTGCGCCCATGTGTGTGTGTCTGTGCGCGCCCATCTCCCCGTGTCTGTGCGCGCCCATCTGTGTGTGTCTGTGTGCGCCCACCTCCTTATGTCTGTGCGCACCCATCTCCCCGTGTCTGTGCACCCACGTGTGTGTGTCTGTGCGCGCCCATCTCCCCGTGTCTGTGCACGCCCATCTCCCCGTGTCTGTGCACGCCCATCTCCCCGTGTCTGTGCACGCCCATCTCCCCGTGTCTGTGCACGCCCATCTCCCCGTGTCTGTGCACGCCCATCTCCCCGTGTCTGTGCACGCCCATCTCCCCGTGTCTGTGTGCCTATGTGTGTGTCTGTGCGCACCCATCTCCCCATGTCTGTGCACACCCATCTCCCCGTGTCTGTGCGCCCATGTGTGTGTCTGTGCGCACCCATCTCCCCATGTCTGTGCGCGTCCATCTCCCCGTGTCTGTGCGTGCATGTGTGTCTGTGCACGCCCATCTCCCCGTGTCTGTGCGCGCCCGTATGTGTGTCTGTGCGCGCCCATCTCCCTGTGTCTGTGCGTGCACGTATGTGTGTCTGTGCGCGCCCATCTCCCCGTGTCTGTGCACCCACGTGTGTGTGTCTGTGCGCGCCCATCTCCCCGTGTCTGTGCACCCACGTGTGTATGTCTGTGCGCGCCCATCTCCCCGTGTCTGTGCACGCCCATCTCCCTGTGTGTGCACGCACGTGCATGTGCCCACCTCCCTGTTTGTGTGTGGCTGCCTCGCTGTTTTTATGTACTCACCTCCGTGTGTGTGTGTGTGTGTGTGTGTGTGTGTGTGTGTGTGCACTCATCTCCGTGTGTGTGTGTTTCCAGTGTCGGCCTCTGGGATGCAATCCAGACTAGTGAGGGTTGTGTCCCCATCTGCCCTATAATGCGGGTGCCTCCCCATGCTTTGCTATTACAGCTCCCTCTCACAGCCAGCCGGCAGCATGCAGGGCACCCCAGAGCGTGTGTGTGTAGCTGGAGCTCTGGTAGAGAACATAAGAGTGGCCAGGCTAGGTCAGACAAAGGCCCATCCAGCCCAGCATCCTGTCTGCTGACAGTGGGCAATGACGGGTGCCCCAGAGGGAGGGAACAGAACAGGAAATCCTAGAATCCAAGAGTGGGAGGAGCCCTCAGGAGTCATCAAGTCCAGCCCCTGCCCAAGGCTGGACCAACCCAACTCAATCATCCCAGCCAGGGGGATGGAGATTCCACCCCCTCCTTAGGGAACCCAGCCCAGCGCTTCCCCACCCACCTAGGGAAATAGTTTTTCCTAATCTCCAACCTGGACCTCCCTAACTGTAACTTGAGATCATTGTTCTTTGTTCTGCCTGTAACGGACCGGGCCGTGTCTGGGCACAGCTGAGGGCGTCCGCTCAGGGCGAATTGCTCAAATCCAGGGCTCCTTACAGCCCCCAGACTGG